CAACAAGAAACAAAATTTGACCCATAATGAAGAGATTATCAGTCAATTAATGCCAAACCCAAACTGACAAAGCTGTTAAAGTTAGCAGGCAAGGACATTAAAAAGAGTTGTTGTAAGTGAATTCTGTAGTTTCAGAAGAATTAGAGACATGGAAAACAGGGGGAAAGAATCTATATCAAGTTTCTAGTGATGATAATTACAGTCTGCAAGGTGAAAATTTACTGGGTGGCATTAATGGCTTATTATACATTGCAGAAGAAAATATTAGTGAACTTGAAGACATAACAATAGAAATGAGCCAAAATGAAGCATGGAAAGTAAAGAGATTTTTTTTTTTAATGTTGCTGCTCTATGTTTGCTCTGTTGTTGTTGTTGTTGTTTTTATGAGGGGGAGGTAATAAGGTTTATTTATTTCTATTTGGGGGAGGTACTGGGGAATGAAACCAGGACCTCGTGCATGCTAAGCATGCGCTCTACCACTTGAGCTATAGCCTCCCTGCTCCAAGAGATTTTTTTTTTTTTTTACAAAATGAAGAGCATTAGTGAGTTGTGGGAAACCTTCAGGTGACGTACTGTGTATTAATTGGAATTCCCAAAGGCGAAGGGAAGAGAGAAGAAAATATATTTGATGTAATTATAGTTGAAAAGTTTTTTAATTTGATGCAAACCATAAACCCACAGATCTAAGAAACTTAATGAAACCACAGTACAAGAAACGTGAATAAGACTACTCTAAGGCCCATCACAATCAAGTTGTAAGAAGATAACTAAAGTGACACTGAGCCAGCTGCTGAAATAAAATGATCCATCAATCTAGCAATTGATACCAGCAAGAATATCTTTCAAAACAAAGGTCAAAATTTTTTTAGGCCTACATTTTCAAGAAAAAAATGTTTAAAATACAGTGGTTTCATATGGTTGACAACAATAGCACAAAGATCTGGAAGGGAGAAATAGAAGTGTGTTATTATAAGATTCCATATTTATATATATATGTTAAGTGATATAGTATCACTTGAATAGAGACTGTCAATTTAAGGATGTCTACTATACTCTAAACAAAGAAGCCAACAAAAGAGAGAAAATGGAATCATAAAAAATAGTGAGTCAATTAGAAGAAAGGAAGAAAGAAGAAACAAATAAGCAACCATAGAAAAATAAACAGCAAAATGATAGATTTAATTCTCAACTCACCAATAATCATGTTAAATGTAGACAATCTAAATATGCCAATAAAGAGGTGGAGATTTTCAGATAGGATAAAAAAGTAGAAACAACAGTACATTGCCTACAGGCAATGAACTTCAAATATAAAGACCCAATCAGTTAAAAATAAAAGAGTGGAAAAGTAACAGTAATCAAAAGAAAGCGGGAGTTACTTAGTATCAGATAAAATAGATTTCAGAGCAAAGAATATCATCAGAGATGAAAAAGATAATCTCATCGTAAAGTAGACATAATTCTAAATGTTTATTTTTATGTCTCTAGTAACAGCTTCAAAATATACCAAGGAAAAACTGATGGAACTGCAAGGAGAGATTGTGGAGACAACTCCACAGTCACAACAGGATATTCTGATACTTTCTCTTAATAATTGAACAGGTAGACAAAAAGTCAGTAAGGATTTAGAAGATTGGAACAACACTGTCAGCCAGCTTGACTCAACTGACATTTGTATATCCCTCTGCCCAGCAACAGTAGAATTCACATTCTTTGAAAATGCATACGGGATATTTACCAAATGTGGAAAATAAAATAAGTTTTGAAAAATTTAGAAGTAATCAAATCATAAAAAGTATTTTCTGACCATAATAGAATTAAATAAGAGGTTGGTAAAAACAGAAAGGTAACTGAAAATCCCCAAATATTTGGAAACCAAATAGCACACTTCTATGGAGCCGTGGATCGTAGAAGTGAGCAAAAGCAAAATTAGAAGGTTTTTTGAATGGAGCAGAAATGAATTACCAACTTTATTAAAATTAGTAGGATACACTGGATCTTAGGGGGAAATTTATAGCATTATATACCTATATTGAAAAAAAACTTAAATCAGTGGTGTAAATTTCTACTGTTAAGAAACCGGAAAAATAAAACCAGAGCAAACAGAAAAAGAGGAGTCAATAAAGATTAAATTGAAATCAATGACCTGTGGAAAACAAAAAAGATAGATTAAATCAATTAAACAAAAGCTCATTTCTTGATAAAATCAATGCAATTAATAAATCTATACTCAGGCTGATCAAGAGAATAAAAAACAACCAGTATTGAGAATGAGAGGTTACATCACTACAGATTATATTAAAATGATAATAAAGGAATGCTATTAAGAACTAATAGCCACATATGAAAGGTAGCTACAGAATTGGACTGTGGAGCAGTATTTTGTAAGCTCCTTGAGGGTTAGGATTGTATTTAAATGTCTTCTGTGTAGAGCAGATACAGAGTAATCACTTGACCAATATATTTTTAAGAGGAAATGCAACATACAACATACAACTAGCAGGGTGGTGATAGACGTATCACTTACCTTTAAGGATCTCAGTTTCCTAATATGAAAAAATGTACTATCTGAAGGTCCTTTTAGCTCTAAAATTCTATAATTTGAAACACAGAAAATATTCTTTATTACTTAACTGCAGATTTACATTTATTTGGAAAAGCACTTTGTTGAAGTTACAGTGTTTAACAAAGTAGCACAATTGATTAAAGAAGACCTTTGAAAACAGTGTATTACTAAAAATGATATCCTTTCTTTAGCATCTTTAACTAACATAATATTGAACATCTTTCTTAATAAAATTCATAATTTTTCCAGGGATTCTGTTGACACAGTCCCCTTGCTTGTCCCTCATCTCCTCAGTGTCTCTAACAAGTCTCTGCTTCCTTGACCACTTTGTATGAAACCACCACCCCTGCTCTCCTGCTTTTTATTTCCTTATCCTGCTTTGTTTTGCTCCAGAACGCCTATCACTGCCTAACGTACTGTTTTCTTTTAGTATCTTCTCTCACCTCCCTAGAAGATAAGTTCCATGAGGACAAGGGCTTTGTCCATTTTGTGTACTCTTGTAGACACTCTAGAACCGTGCCTGGCACATAGTAGATGTCCTAAATATTTCTAGAATGAGTTGATCATTTGTATTTTAATATCCCTTAGATGTTTCCACTGCTTGCACAGATTTTCGTCTCTTAAATCTCTGCTGTATAAAAAAGTAAGCTCCAAATATTGGTGATTTGAGAGATTTCAAAAGGTCTGCCTGTTTTAAAACAACGTTTTTTCTGGACTTCTCTCTAGAAGAGGTTTATATATCTAGGTCACTTCTGTGAATAACAAAACAAAATAAAAACAATCTGTTGAATGCCTGAGACCTTTTGCAAGTATTGTCTCATTTAATCTTCCCAACAATTCAAAGTGAGGTAATATCCTCACTTTACAGATAAGGGATCTAAAGCTTAGGGAAATTGTAAAAAGCATTGGAAGTCACACAAACCTAGATTCAAACCTGTATCTGCCTACTCCAGAGCTTCAGTTCTTAAACATTGTATTCTTACCCAGTTTCAAATGTATTATTTGTAAAGATAATTATTAGTTTAATATGAGCACAGATAGGCTTAGCATCTGAGGTTAGAGCACAGCAACATTCTGAGTGAAAGATTTGGTTTTGTTGATGGTTTCCTTTGCTGTGCAGAAACTTTTTAGTTTGATGTAGTGTTTGCTTTTGTTGCTTTTGCTTTTGGTATCAGATTTTTTAAAATCACCATGACCTGTGTCAAAGAACTTACTGCCTGTTTTCTTTTAGGAGTTTTATTATTTATTATTTTTATTCTATTATTTATTATTTTATTTTTTATTATCTATTATTTTATTATTATTTATCATCCTATTTCATTCGTCTATTCTGTTTTCATGCCAATGCCATACTGTTTTGATTACTACAGCTTTGACATAGGTTGAAATCAGGGAGTGTGATTCCCATCCTCTTTTGGGTAGTAGGTTTATGTATTTCTGAATCATTCCTGTTATAGTTATAATGCTTATCTTAAGCAAAGGTGGCAAACAAGCTTGATTTATAATAGCACAACTACTGTATTTTCTTTAAATTGACTAGAAATTGTGTTGGAAATAGCTAAACAGTATTTTGTATCATTTTTGTTTTTGTGATTCCTTGTGGTCAGTCTTTAACAGTTGAAGATTGTTCCTTTGTCATTTGTCTATGACATGAGGCCATTGATAATCCTTACGTTCGACTTATGCTGCTACTGTTGGCACAAGAACACGTTTTACAACTTCTGTTTTACTGATTTAAAACAGTTTTATGGAAATTCACTTTGTTGGCATAACTACACTTTTGGTCAGGACTTGGGTTTTGGATTCTTTCCATGTAAATCTTAGTATGTTTTGTTCAGTATATGTTTTAGGGGAGCTTCTTTAATCCAGACTTGTTGTGTTTTGATGCTTGCTTTTAGAGGAATTTTTTTTTATAATGAGTCTATATCCCATACAGGATGCTTATATTTTTAGGAGCTTTCCTTATTGATTAGAATTGGTTGACAACTGGACTGTATTTTATATTAAAAGAAAATTTGGTCATCTTGATGTAATAGTTAATAAGCTTTATGGGGTTTTTTTTTTTTCCTGACTTCATTATATAAAAGCCATTGCCTTTGTTTTTAGACTGCTTGCTTCTTCAGGCATTCTTAGACATAATTTTAAAAATTGGCTGTTCCTTTTTGAATTCTGTTATCCTCTACCCAGCCTATATACACACATACATATTATATAATTTTATACAATTTTATTTGTGTATGTGTATAAATATACAAATCATAGTCTTAACATGGTTTATTTGAAAGGTACAAAATGTGATATGTGTATGACTAGTTTGCACATCTTTAAATTGTTTCAGGCACGAGATTTAATAGTGGGTATTTTGCTTTTGTAAGACACACCAATGATGATGTCAGTGTTCTTTTGTAAGTAATGTATTTTCTCCTTGTTACAGGTCCTTTTGTTCTGCATCACAGCTGCCATGTACATGTTCTTTTTCAGGTATGTCCTATTTATTTTGATAGAAAAATACTCTTCCTTTGTAATTTTAAAATCAACTGTGTAACTAAAATGTTTTCTAAATTATTCTCCAAAAGTGTCATGAGTTTTTGTTCTGTTCTGTTCTCTAGAGTGGTCAGATTTAAGTCACTGCCCCTTAGTAAGTAGAGAGAGAGAAGGAAGATTTGATTTTTTTCACACTATGCTTATAAAAGTTCACCTTGGAGAGATAGATATGTAAATGAATACTCCTCAGGTCCTGAGAAGTGAAGTTTTGTTTGTTGTGGACCTGATTTTAGATATTCTTCACTCTCCTTATAAAATAATCAACATTTCAAATTTAAATGAGAAAAATGTGATGGTAGTGCTTAACCTAAGTCTTCTGTGAAAGTAACCTTGCACACTAGTCACTGTCGTTGGGTTAGTCCATAATGTCAGAGTTGTATTGTTCATTGGCACTGAGATTGAGGAATGTGGGGGAGTGTTAGGATGGCTCAAGATTTTAATGCCAATAAAAATGATGTCTGTCATAGTTACATAACCACAACAGCAGGGAACTGGAGTTTTGACTAGGAAGAGTCTGCTCCTTCATAATCTTCAGTTCCAGTGAGTAATCCCTATTTGTTTCACTCTTATTACACTCACTTGAATACATTCCTCCTTGGTTTTTCTGGAAATAGGCAGAATTCAGTCACAGCAGGAAATGCTAGGCTTTTAAAATTAAAATTTGCACTTGATTGACGAAGGCAATTACGGATTTTAGTAAGATATATCTGGTAGACATCTTTATCTTTTTTATGAACCTAAGTAGGACAATTCAATCATACCAGAATTTTTAAACAAGTGATTTCCTGCCAGAACATTCTAATAAATATTTGATAAGCACAATGATAACAATTTTAACTTCTTTTGACTTTATCAAAAATGTATGTAAATGTAAAATTATGTTGCTGTAATTATTCTTATAAAGGGACAGTCGGGCTATTAGAAGGGGAAAAATGGATGAAATTTCAAGGTGGGGAGGTCTTACTCATAATGGGGTGCATAGTATTTTATGTCAGTTAGTGACTAAAAAAAATCATTGCAGCTCTCTGGATGTCTTTGTGAAGCTGTTTGACCTACCATTTTTAGTATACCTTCATATACACCTTACAACTCCTGTGGTCTCTTTCATGTATTTTAAGAATTTAGGGGTGTGGTAGGAGAATTAAGAACGATGACTATTTCATTTCATCAGTTTCCAAAAACTTCTTAATTGTATTCAGGCACATTATTACGACAATATTGCAGAAAGTTCACATGGTTTATCTTTATGTTCTGTCTAGTCTGAAGATAAAGCAAACCTAATGCGAGAATCCTGTGTTGACATGCACAGGAGGAAAATACAAGTTCAAGTAAAATGTGTGTGTGTGTGTGTGTGTGAGAGAAAATTCCCAGCAGAGCAGATAATTAAATAAAGCAACAGTCCTTCCTGAGATAGCACTTAAAGACAGCATATTTGATCAACATTTAGCATTTCTTAGTCATAGAAGTTTTTGAGGTTTAAAAAATGACTTGTATGTTGACTATAGTGATAATGCCCAATCTTTAGCGTGGTCCTAGCAAACTGTGCTTTTAAAACGGCTGCCATAAACCTAGTATTTTTGGTGTAGAAAGAAAATCAACCCTATAAATATGTATTTTGGTGCAGAGCTACGGAACCTTTTCCTGTTTCAGTCACAAAGTCTAGGTTAAAAACAACAATTTAAAATACTTTCCAGAAGGCTCAATACAAGGTTTTAGTGCCAAGATAAACATTTTCAATTTTCTGAGGAAAGGGTTGTTTTTCTCCAAAAAGAAGCACTATCACCAAATTCCTAGTGTTCTTGGCAGGAGTTAGTTTGCATAACTCAACAAAAGAGGTTTGGTAAATGGTAAAATAAAACTATTTATAAAGTACTACAACCAAAGAAAACAATGTTATGTGTTTGTCTGAAGCCTCACATGTGTTCGGAATGAACAAGAAAGTCAGCAGTTAGCAAGTCCAATTGCATTAGAATATTTTATTTTAAAATTCAATTTTATTATAAATATAGATATTTGAGGACACATTTATTCCACTTATTAACAGTTATTTTAATTCTAGTTGCATAAAATTAGATAAGTAAATTTCAAATGATGTTGTCCCTGTGACTTCATTCATGGTAACCTTTTTTGAGAAGAGGGTAAGGGAAACATTTTATGTTAGAAGTGAGTAATCTTGTGTTTTTATCCTACCCTTACCCTATAAATGGGGGGAAAAGGGAAATGAGACCCTCTTTCAATAGAGAGAAAATGTGTCAATTTTGTTTTTTTAAAGAAAGAACTTGAAGAAGTAGTTCCTTAAGTATTTTCTACAAGTGACATAGGATGTGATGGTTTTCCTATGAACCTACTTAAAAAGCAACACAATGTTCATAGTATTGAAACCATGGTTATTAAAATGTGTGATGAAAATATCTTACTTTTGAATAGCTCTTAATAGTTATTTTATATAGTTCTTTTCACATACATTATCTCATACCTGGTGATCTTGATTTTTAATCTGTACACCAGAAATAAGGCTTATAATTATGGAATCCTGGGAACACTTCAGAGGGTTGGGTGGAGGGAAGGTAATTTGTGAACAAAGAGTTCTAGTTTGGACTAGTTCTTAGCTAGTAGGCTGGCTGTCTAGCCACCCGGCTGTGTCTTGGTACCAACACATGCTATGGATTCTGTTAGGAATTGGGGTACAGTATTTTGAAGAGTGTTGAGAAAGAAGCAGGAGCTCTGTACAACCCCATGGGCACTCTCCACAATGGTTCTGCCTCCTTTGTTTAAGCATTTTATTGTTTTGTATGTTATTCTCATCACTTTGCCTTAGGGCATATCTATCACTGTCAATTCAGGCCAAGCAGAAGTCATGGCTGAAAACCTGATAGAATATTTTGTCTAATGCATCGCTTTAAAATATTTCTTTACTTCCAACTCTGTGTTTATGGGTAAAGCAACCTAAGTTTTTTTTGAGTTAAAGGATTCATCATAATTACCGATTCAGGCTAGCTTGGGATCTTCCCAATGGTCATATGGAGAAAAGAAATGAATTTCTTTTGAACCACTAGCTTTTTTTGTTTTAATTCAGAAACAAAAGAAAAATCAACAATAACACAGATTCTACACCGAAGCTATTACACCTAATCCTGCTCACAAAAAACAATGAAACATGCAGCACCTTTAAACCTTATTTTATTGGTTTTCTTTTCATCACTAGCTATCTGTGTGATAAGAACACTAATATTTTAGGAAAATGAAACAGTTCACCTACATTTTCTTTAAATAATTAAATTTAAAATAGTATCATAAAGCATATTTTGACAGCTTTGATCCCGTCTTAGCGTGTACCTAGCTAGAAATTCTTTCCATTTGCCTGTGCAAAGGCAGCACTGAGTCTGACAGCTTGTTTGAACACGTAGATTGAAAGGCTCAGACTTGTTGTCAAAGCAGATAATCTGCAGACTATATACGGGTGATTCACAACAGATAGACCTTAATCTGCTATAAACTTTGGAAAGCAATGGATTTTTAGTTAGAACCAGTGAGAATTAAAGTTTATTGTTGTGTTTTATACATATTTAGAAACTGTTGATGCCTGGTGTCTGATGAATTTGTGCCGTTCTGTGAAGGCACAAGTAATAAACTATTTCATTAGTCTCAACATATGGATGTAGGTTTTTTTGTTTTTGTTTTTGTTTTGTTTTGTTTTTAATCTTAAGAAAATGAACACTATTTACTGGCCGGACAACCTGTAGTTCTAAAGTGAAAGACATTTGTGATCGCCCTTGAATCTGTTTACATGAACTTAAATTAGTATCTTTGAAATAACTTAGCAAGTAAAGAACTTTTGATCTGGGTCTTTTAGCCATTTACTGATTTTAATAAAAATCCTTTAAATATCAATTAGGTTCTATTTTTTTTTAAAGTGTTGCCTAAAATTACCATAAAAATCCAGTCTAGAAAATTAGATATCACATTTGGAGTCTAAAGGTTTTACTTCAAGTTTGGGAGAGTTTGCCCTAAATAATTACGTTTTTATTTCAAAGAGATTACTTCCAGCAGTGCAGAGAATGAGTTGGGAGTTTCGAGGGGGCTTAATAACAGGGAATGAGGGAATGGGAGGACATTGTTGCAGTGACTGAGGAGAGAAACGGTGAGGACATGACTGAGAATCATGATGAAGAGTGGATTTATCTAGGGTAGGATTGCTGCTGGGGTGAGGAAGAGCAAAATACTGGAAGGTGAGCAAATTAGAAAATGCATGGAAATTGCGTACAGGTTTTGCTGATACTGAGACAGTTGCTTTTAGGACATTCACATAAAGAAATACAGATATTTATTTGTGTGGAGTTCAGGAGGTAAATAGAGACTATTCTTGATTGTCATACTAGCTGTTTGACTTTGGACAAATTAACTATACAACTTCTGTGTACCTCAATTTCTTCATTATTAAAAAGTGTAGATTGCCATATGGACCTCATAGTTAGGGTTGTGGGGATGACATAAGAAGCAATGTCTTTCCAGCTTTTGGGGACGTTACCTAAAATAAGGACTACGTTTCATACTGTGAATATACACACACGCACATACATTTCCCAGAATAATACTTAACCTTACTACAAGTAACCCATTTGGATATTTTCTGTCCTAATTGATTTCATTTATTGAAAAAGCTGTTTTGACCCACTAATTGGTAACAACCAGTAGTGTGAAAAACCATTGGGCTAATAGCACCTACCTAGCACAGTGATCATCTTAGCAAAAATAGAGTTAAGAGTAGTGACTTGTTTTTAAGCTAAGAAAGGAAGTTAATTAAAGTAGGGAATTTGAGGAATGAAATTGTGTTTAGTGTTAATGTGGTAGATATATCCAGTAAGGTAAGAGTTAAAAGTGTTCATTTGCTCTAGCAGTCTGGTGGTCAGTGGTAACCTGTTGGAGAAATTTCTGGA